AGCGAATTGCCCTCGGGAACGTAAAGCGGCTGATGATCCAGTCGTCGTCCTGAGGTCTCTGGAAACCCGTTCTCTTGGCACTGTTCCATTGGCAATATCCTCCAACAGTGCCAAAGCTGCCATTGTTGTTAACGGTGTCTTCTGCACCATTTTATATAAACTTTTATATCCGCTCATCTGATTGCAAACACCTGGGTGTGTTAAGTGTTCATCTAAGTGTCTCTGATGTGCATGTCACTTTGAGGAATCACCTTTTTTTACATTGTTTTGTACATTTTTACATTCCCAGCATCACCTCTAAGTGTCGCCAACGGCTCAAAAGCAATAGAAACGTGTGTACGCCAGTCAAGAAGTTGGTGTGAAGGACCGCACATTTCCACGTTCATTTCACTCTTGATACATCTGAACGTTAGCGTGGAAAAGTGCGTACGCCAAGTTTTTGTGTGTACGCACCCTTTGTACATGAGGCCCCTGGTGAAGATGCTGGTGAAGCTGGTGAGAGAGTGTCATTATCCACAGTGAAACAAGTCCTGTACCAACATGGGCTGAAAGCCTACTCACAGAAGAAGAAGACATTACTCCTTCATTTTTGGAGACATGTCCTGGTGGTCTGATGAAACTAATCTGTTTGGCCATAATGACCATTGTTACCTTTGGAGGAAAAAGGGGGAAGCTGGCAATCCTGACAACACCATCCCAACTGTGATGTGAAGTACGGGGGTGGCAGCATCATGTTGTGGGGGTGTTTTGCTGCAGGAGGGACTGGTGAACTTCATAAAATAGGTGGAATCATGAGGAAAGAACATTATGTGGAAATATTAAAGCAACATCTCAAGACATCAGCCAGGAAGTTACAGTTTGGGCACAAACAGATCCTCCAAATGGACAATGATTCTAGGCATACCGTCAAATGAATTACAAAGTGACTTCAGAACAACAAAGTCAATGTTTTGGAGTGGCCTTTACAAAGCCGTGATCTCAATTCTGTGGAAACTGTGTGGGCAGAGCTGAAAAGGCGTGTGGAGCAAGGCGGCCAACAAACCTGACTCAGTTGCACCAGTTCTGTCAGAAGGAATGGGTCAGAATTCTGTCAAAGTATTGTGAGGAGCTCGTGGAAGGAAACCCAAAACGAATGACCCAAGTCATACAGTTTAAAGGCAATGCTACGAAATACCAAGGAAACTTCTGACTGAAAGTAATAAAAACATGTTTTTTAAAAAATTCTCTCTCTCATTATTCTGGCTTTTAGCAAATAGAAATTATTTTTGGCAATCCTAAGTGACCTAAAACAGGAAAAGTTTAGTCTGATTTAATGTCAGACAGTGAGGGAAAAGAAGTTCAGTCTTTTCATACAGTGCACATAAACTTCTGGTTTCAACTGTATGTGTCGGTAAAAATCGGTGAAAAACATCNTCGCAACAATGTTACTTAATTGTATTTGCGCATCACAGATGATCGTACGTTGATTGAATAAAAATGCCTCCTGTTTACATAAACAAATGCATCTTGTGATGGTGCCTCTATAGCAATGTGTGTGCAGTCGATCGCTCCGATTACAGCAGGAAAACCGGCCGTCGCTACAAATTGCACTTTTATGTTGTCCTGTAGTGCATCGGAATTTGATATATCTGGCTGACATTCGGATGGTTCCGTCCCACACGGCTGGCATGGCTCTGCTCACTGTTGACTGGCACAGTCCCGGTCGGTCGGCCAGCTCCCTCTGAAATGACCCTGTGGCCAGGAAGCCCAGTGTGGTCAGCACCTGTATGGGCACAGGTAGGACATGGCTCCTGGCCGTGTTGCGCTCCAATAATGGCCGCAGCTCCACGCACAGTTCTAAGCGAATTGCCCTCGGGAACGTAAAGCGACTGATGATCCAGTCGTCATCCTGAGGTCTCTGGAAACCCGTTCTCTTGGCACTGCTCCATTGGCAATATCCTCCAACAGGTCCAAAGCTGCCATTGTTGTTAACGGTATCTTCTGAACCATTTTATGTAAACTTTTATATCCGCTCATCTGATTGCAAACACCTGGGTGTGTTAAGTGTTCATCTAAGTGTCTCTGATGTGCATATCACTTTGAGGAATTACCTTTTTTTACATTGTTTTGTACATTTTTATATTCCCAGCATCACCTCAAAGTGTCGCCAACGGCTCAAAAGCAATAGAGAAGTGCATACGCCAGTCAAGAAGTTGGCGTGGAGGACCGCACATTTCCACGTTCATTTCACTCTTGATACATCTGAACGTTAGCGTGGATAAGTGCATACGGCAAGTTTTTGTGCTTACGCACCCTTTGTACATGAGGCCTCTGGTGAAGATGCTGGTGAAGCTGGTGAGAGAGTGTCATTATCCACAGTGAAACGAGTCCTGTACCAACATGGGCTGAAAGCCTACTCACAGAGGAAGAAGACATTACTCCAACAGCATCATAAAAAAACAGATCACAGTTTATAAATGCACACAGCGACAAAGACCTTCATTTGTGGAGACATGTCCTGTGGTCTGATGAAACTACTCTGTTTGGCCATAATGACCATGCTTACATTTGGAGGAAAAAGGGGGAAGCTGGCAAGTCTGAGAAACCATCCCAACTGTGAAGTACGGGGGTGGCAGCATCATGTTGTGGGGGTGTTTTGCTGCAGGAGGGACTGATGCACTTCATAAAATAGGTGGAATAATGAGGAAAGAACATTATGTGGAAATATTAAAGCAACATCTTAAGACATCAGCCAGGAAGTTACAGTTTGGGCACAACGAGATCTTCCAAATGGACCATGATTCTAAGCATACCGTCAGATGAATTACAAAGTGACTTCAGAACAACAAAGTCAATGTTTTGGAGTGGCCTTTACAAAGCCCTGATCTCAATTCTGTGGAAACTGTGTGGGCAGAGCTGAAAAGGCGTGTGGAGCAAGGCAGCCAACAAACCTGACTCAGTTGCACCAGTTCTGTCAGAAGGAATGGGCCAGAATTCTGTCAAAGTATTGTGAGAAGCTCGTGGAAGGAAACCCAAAACGAATGACCCAAGTCATACAGTTTAAAGGCAATGCAACCAAATACCAAGGAAACTTCTGACTGAAAGTAACAAAAATATGTTTTTTTTTAAAAAATCTCTCTCTCATTATTCTGGCTTTTAGCAAATAGAAATTATTTTTGGCAATCCTAAGTGACCTAAAACAGGAAAAGTTTAGTCTGATTTAATGTCAGACAGTGAGGGAAAAGAAGTTCAGTCTTTTCATACAGTGCACATAAACTTCTGGGTTCAGCTGTATGTGTCGGTAAAAATTGGTGAGAAACATCCAGAATGTAAAAAAAAAACAGAAGCACGGAGCCTGCTGAATAAATGGGGTTGATTTAATCAAGTATTTTTGATTTTAACAAACAAATCAGCTCATGAGTCCTATATTTGGTTTTCTTTCCATGTAAGACGGACTTCAAATAATACTTGGGGAAAAAAAAGAATCAAAACAATATATTATCATTTAGTTTTTTACATAATGTAAAAGCATTTTTGGATTCATTATACACAGAATATCTGATTTAAAAAAAAAAAAAACAATAAGAAACAATGCAAGATTCAAGTATAGACAAAATCAACTATAGTCACAAACGTAGTCACAAACAAACTCAAGGACGTATGAATGTTACCTAAGCAGTGAATGTGCACGCTAGATTTATATTTACATCAGCACTATGTAGTTAATGGTCTGCTGCTCCACTGTGAAGTGTTCAACAAGGAGTCAATCTCTAATCTAATCCTGCAATTATTGCCGCATACATTTTTCACTGATCTGGGCTGAGCAAACTTTTCTTTCTTTTTTTTTCAAACAAATTACACTGACATTTCAGTACGGTGTAGACCTAACAATAAAATAAATGTTTTAAAAGTTGGGTTAAGTATATTTTTTGATATGTTGAACAGCCAATAAAATGGCAACAAATGCAGAATGATAGCAGAAAAAGAAAAGAAAAAAAAGCTTTTTGAACAACATTCAAAAAACTTTATACATTGGATATTTAGTAATTAAGGAACAAATGATCCCTTTCTGTTTTTGTTTGTTTGTTTGTTTGTTTTATCTTAATGAATTATCCCAATTTTGATAAGTTGCTGATTGGTCAAGTATTCTAGTGTTATTTTTAAGAACTATTATACGCTCAACATTTTTAAAACCAACAACTAACAAACACGTTGTTTGGTTTGTAGTTTGTAGGCAGAAATAATCAAGATGAAACAGTTCAAGGTCAGTTCAAGGTGCTTTGGCCCGAATCACAGGAACTTTTTTCTTCTGCAAAATGTCCTGATCATTAGCTCTTGGGAAACTAATGTTTACCTCATGAAACTGTTCTGTATCACTTTAATTTGGCAATACGGTTTGGCCACAGTTCATTCAAAGAGAGTGTGGACGAAACTGTATTCCTGCTCAAATTTGATTGGTCTCCTCCATGAAAGAAAACATATTTCTTCAGGTGTTCCCCATTCCCTACAGATCATTTGGTGTACTTTTTGTGGACATGTTGGTTCTGCTGTGTTGACTCACAGAAATGTAACGCTTTAAGCGTGGGAAGCGTTTAACCAGCAGCTGCCTGAAGTAATTCTGGAATTTTTTCCCTACAAATGTGTAGAAGATGGGACTGATGCAGAAGTAAATGTAGGCCATGTTACGAGTGAATTGAAGTGCATAGCCCAGTTTCTGTCCTTCCTCACAGCTAGTGGCTTCATCGTGCATTAGCGTTACAATGTTAAAAGGGATCCAGCAAATGAAAAACAACAGCACAATGATGAATATCAGCCTGACTGTCTTGAACTTGCTAACTATCTTAGATGACATGACAGTAGCTGCAATCCTAACATAGCAGTAGATAATAACAGCCAGAGGGAAGATCAAGAAAAGGAAAAGCTGAAGGTAAAATCCAGATGTTCTCAGCTGATGAACATCGATATTGGGAAGGTCACCCGGATACTCATCACAGTAGGTTATGTTGTCGATATAAACAAATGTGGTGTGGAGAATCATGGGCCTGATGCACGCCAACCCACTGACCAGCCACACCACGGCGCAGGAGATCACAGCATAGCTTCGATTCCTCACTTGTGACACACCTAAGGAGTAGACAACTGCAAGGTGTCGGTCGAAGGTCAGAAGAGTTAGAAAGAGGACAGAGCTGTAGAAGCCCAGGTAGTAGACACTACCAACAATCTTGCACATCACTTTGCCAAAGATCCAGTTGGAGAGCTGCATGTAGGCTCCAATGAAGGGAAGACTGCTCATAAAGATCACGGAGGACAAGACCAGGTTCAGCAGCAGGATGTTGGTCACAGTGGTCAGCTTCTCAAACCTACAGGGTGGTCAGACAGAAAGCTATTGTCAGAGAAAAACAGAGAAAAGTATTTTATGATGGATATATTTCACTGTGACTTCAGACTGTTTATTTGAAGCCAGTAAATTTATGGATTGGTTCTTGGCAGTGAACTAAATCTGCACATCTTAAGCATCAGTGACATTTGGAGAGGAAGTCTGCCTGTGGAGTCTGGCTAGAGTGTCACATCATCAAAACAGATGTTGACAGATGTAAAGACATTCAGTCAATAGGATGTCAGGGGTGTCAGATCAGAAAACACTTCTTTGTCATTCTAGAGGGCACTGATACACAGAAGGACATACTTTGTTGTTTAGTTTGAAAGATACCAGCTGTAAAGTCATGTTTTGATGACTTCTCTGGTTCAGTATTTTAAGCCTACTTAACTTTTGGGTGTCTGTGGTATTGAATCTGTGCCAAACCCTCAGCCCTGAAGTGTGGTTGTGAAATTCAAGTATACATTTCTGCAGCAATGTCAAGACGGGTGTACTGGATTGGACTGAACTGATCAGCAATAGTCAAAACAGTTTGAGGGAGTTTTGTTTTTTTTGTTTTTTTTAATCTGCTAAAGCTACAATTGACCAAGAATCAATGATGTAACCATAAGGAAGACCACTAAAACAAAAAGTCTATGGAACAATAATTCACGCAAAAAGATACCGACATTATCTCATTCACATTATTTCAACTCCAAATGGTGTCCCTCAGATGAGGGTGAGACAGTGAGCACACATTTTTGATGCATCACCAAGTTGAAGTGACAATGAGACGGCAGTGTGAGGGTTTCTCCTGGGATCCAAGTGCCAATTAAATTCTGTTTGATTGGAGGATAACTAAATCATTCTGGTAAAAGAAAGTGTTCAGTCTGCATCTTGCTTTTAGCCCATTCAGCTTTCCGTTGGGTCCGATCTATGGGGAGACTGGAAGTGTGGTCGCGGTGAACTAATTTTCTGATATTACCACTAGGAGTCCTTAAAGGCACTGAAGGGTGTTAAAATTGTAAATAATTTTAGTTTTTCTGCATATTTATTAGCCCTAAAGAATGTAATTGTACATATTCATACTTTAATTGAAGTTTTGAAATTGAAGCAAACAGCAGCAAGAATCAAACATTAAAAGTTTTAGCAAATCATAACTCCTGTAATTTTATTGATTGTATTCATTTTAGTTTAGCTGAAAAACAGCACTAGATCATTTTTAGTCTAAAAAAACGATATATTTCAAATGAATCAACTAGAGACCTGTTTGAGGAGTTTTCTTCTCTTTCCTTGAGCTGCCTGCACTGTCAGCATGCAGCTGGCATCGCATCTCTTCAACCTTATATACTGCCATATACTCTATTATAAACACACCTTTCATTTCAAGGCCCAGGCAGACATTTCTGAGTTCTGCTCTGACATCGTCATTTGTGTTTCCATGAACGTAGAGAAAATTTTCAGATTTCTTGCTCACAAAGGTAGCAGCGGAGAGAGGACATTTGGTAGACACTGACAGAGTAGAGGAGACTCTCTGGGGGCTCAGGGGAGACTCTACTCGGTGCAGAGCTACTGTATTCCACTGTCTATGGGAACAAGAACAAAAGTTTCCACAGTTGTATGACTTCATCTTATAGTCTTCCAGTTGTTTTTTTTTCTGACAACTTCATGACATGTCAAGTCAAATCCACCTATGTCCCAAATGGTCTAGAACTGAAGCCCGTCATAGAACTGCTCATCTCTGGTTTTCCACCTGTTCTGTCCTTTTCAAATGTAAGAAACTGAAATAGTTTTGGAAAGGTCTTAATTCAGCTTTATGGTCATTTTGGAGGCTGTACTGAATCGCCTTATAGATTTTTTTTTTTTATTACTGTGTGCATCAAGAAATCCGATCACAGTTACTCATGGAATGATGGGAAAAGCCAGATTATGTTTGACACACTGTAATTAGACACAACAGCTGCTCTTCTGGTATGTCTCTGACAAAGCAGCCGCTCAAGGACTATGACCACAAGTGGGTGTCACCAAAGCTGACACGACTGACATCCCAAGGATTGCAACTTTAATTTACACTTAGTTCAAAGTTTCAGTTTAATGCACAGTTTATGTGAACATGTATATTTTTACAAGCTGACCCATTTAAAACTAACCCATTCTAAGAATTTCTTTAAATGCATCCACTTTAATCACTTGTGCGGTACACACTCATTTAGGTCGTCAGCTCACCGATGGATGATGACCAGGACCAGCCCATTGCCAAAGACACTGAAGACAAACATAAAGTAGTAAAGGATGGATAGCTGAGCTCCCAGATTGTTGTCTCTGTCCCGGCTACATGGAGAGACCGGTTCAAAACTGCCATCGCTGTAATTGCTGTAGTCGTAATCAACTGTTGTAGTTTCCATCTTCATGGATTGCGCGAAAATCTGTCACAAATAGAAATGCAGTCATCACGTATAACATCCACAATACGATGCTGTCCGTATGAACCAGAAAGTACAAAATTATTGCTTTCAAAATATTTGGAGGTAAGAGGATAGTGAGCTGGAAAACAAGCCCTTTCACTGAGAAAACCACAAGGAGCCTTGGGAATAAACACAGATGTTTCTGGGAATGAGCTGACTTACCGTCGGGCCAGCAGAGAAGCTCCCACTTGTTGTGTGACTCTGAAGGCCAGGACTATTTGAGTCAAAGTGAGTTCAAGTCACTCCATGATAAGTCATCAAGCTAGAGGAAGTCTTATAGAGGTGTGTGTGTGTGTGTGTGTGTGTGTGTGTGTGTGTGCGGGTGTGTGTGTGAGTGTTAACAAGGGGGAAGGATTAGCTGAAAAGCCCAACATCGAAGCACACCCTCTGACCACCAGCCCTTCCCCTAACTGTTGGGATACTGAAGCCATGTCTGCACCAGCCCAATCTGACACCAAAATCTGCAATAGTTTATAGCTTTGTTTACAGTGCAACATGAAAAAAAAAAAAAAAAAGTGGAAAAATGGTGCACGCTTGAACTTTATAGTGGCTATCCTTGTAGCAGGACTTGTCGACCAAGGAACCTAGAAAACCAGATTTTTGGGTGGAACATTTGCAGGGGTGAGAACTGTAACCCAAACCTTGGTCTTTTCCTAAACCTAAACAAGTAGTTTTGGTATTGTGGTATCTGATATTCCACTTCATGGGTTTGGGATGGGACTAACTTAGAATAATGTAATAGTGTGATTTTTTTTGAATTTGTGCATGAGGTGAGGTAATCTGCACTTGATGTTTTAATTTGCATTTGTTGTTCCTGCAAAGGTACTGGTTGGTGTTTTCTTTTCTTTCCTCCTAGGATGAGTTTGGGGGAAGACCACGGCGAGGGTTACTGATTGCTCAGGGACCCTGACAGTCTGTAAGGAATTCAGACATTCAAACTTGAAAATTTGACTGGACGGACCTGAACAAGGAACTGCATTGAACTGCACTGAACTGCAGAGTTAAGAGCTCTGTAATTTGACTGTCTGGAGACTAGGCCAGGTGAGCTTTTCCACTACAACCACATTCAGTTGGGAGTTCTTCTGTTAGCTATACTAGCAGGGGTGCTTCAGCTTCAAATAGGAAGTTTTATTTTTGTTTTCATTTTTTTGATTTAGGGGCTGCAGGGTGGTGCAGTTGGTTAGCACTGTTGCCTCGCAGCAAGAAGGTTGCCGGTTCGCGTCCCGGTGGGGGCACTGGAATCTGCGTGGAGTTTGCATGTTCTCCCCGTGCTCTCCGGCTTCCTCCCACAAGGTCCAAAAACATGTTGAGGTTAATTGGTGATTCTAAATTGTCCGTAGGTGTGAATGTGAGTGTGCTTGGTTGTCTGTCTCTAAGTGTAGCCCTGTGATAGACTAGTGACCTGTCCAGGGTGTCCCCTGCCTTCACCCTAAGTCGGCTGGGATAGGCTTACAAAGTCATAAATAGCCTGGATAGTTAACCAGTCTATCACAGCGCTACACAGAGAGACCAGCAAGCACTCTCACATTCACACCTACAGACTATTTAGAATCACCATATAACCTCAGCATGTTGTTGGACTGTGAGGGAGGAAGCCGGAGAGAATCCACGCTGCACAGAGAACATGCAAACTCCACACAGAAAGATCCCAGACTGAGATTTGAACTCAGGACCGTCTAGCTGTGAGGCGACAGTGCTGTCCACCGCTCCACCCTTCCTCTGAAAACTGAGGATTATTATTCACATAATGGCATAGGATGGCAACAGGCCTTAACGAGCATTTGTCTTCATTTTGGAAATAAATGATACACATGCTAATGTTAGTCTTCGCAATCTAATAGACTAAAATATTGCAATCAATTGAGGTGGCTGACATTCATGACATGTCCCACTAAACACAGGTCTCACTGTGTCCTGCACTGGAAGTGAAGTGTGAGGTGTGAAATCATCCAGTCTGGATGGATGGTTTTGGAAAGACTTTAAACCATGGCTGTCATGGACCCTGCCATGTCCAGCTGTTGCTGTGAGTCTGGTTTTAGTTATTTCCTGTTGTGTTTTGTGTTCACTCTTGCCTCGTTGCTGGTGTCTTTACACTTCCAGGTCTTTGTCTGTGTTCCCACCAGTGTGATTACTTGTGCTGCTCTACCTGTGTGTGATGGTCTTCCCTGCCCCAGTGTATATAAACACTCCCCTTTCCTCTTGTCCATTTGTCTTGTGTCATCATGTCAGCATCCCAGTTCTTTATTCAAGTGCTCTCCAATGTTCACTTTGTACCTTTGTTTTTGAGTCTTTTGTGTCTCTTTTTGTGTCTTCTTTTTTTGTGTGTGTATTCCACGTGTGTATTTCTGTGACATTAAAGAGAGAACAAGCTTTACTTGGATGTAATTGTAAATCTTGGGTTTTTCCAAAAGGAAAAAACTTGGTTGTATCAAAGTGAAAAATGACCTGTTAATCTTAAGAAACTATTTGTTTACTTTGGGATAATGTACATTTTTGTGTTGGAAAAAATAAATATCTTGGTTGACATGATTTCAGCTAAACCATAATATAATTAAGATAAACTAATAAATGTAACTGTAAAAAAAAAATACAGCATTTGTTTTAAAGTTTATCCAAAGTGTCATTTTTCAGTGCACGCCTCAGTGTTTTCTGGGCATTTGTTAGCAACGGGTAAAACACACACTCCTTTGGGTCGTCTTAGTAATGTCATATTTGTTCATTTGTCAATACACGACTTGTGGTTGATGGTTACTAATAGCTCTAACCTTTTCATGTACACTGATTCACAACAGAGTGAATCCCCACCCTCAGAGTTCCTATGCTGCTGTTGCTAAATGAGTAACTGTGAGGAACTACACATGCAATTAAATGTGCTGATCACACAGTTACCATCAGCTTAGAAAAAGAAGGTGGGCAGGTCATGGGTGTAAAGCTGATACTTGAAAACTGAAGTGGACTGAAGGTAACTGCCCCAGGGCTACTGTGCGACATCAGCTTACAGAAACTGTATGTGCAATAAAGCCTAAAAACCTAAATACTCTGACCTCTGTACGAAATGGGAAACAGAAATGCAGCGTCTCCAGGAGAATGAATTTGTGGGGACACCTGACATTGTTGGCACTATAATTTAATCTGTGCAGTATGTGTGTGGGCAGGCACACACTTATCAGAAGTGGAAGAGTCTCTGCAGACCATCACAACCTGCAAGTCAAGAGTCAGGGGTAGCTGAGCCAGAGGCACTCATGGAGGCCATATATTAAACTTTGTAACCCTGCAGATCCCTGTAGTGTTGACAGGCTGCATTATTACTAAAAAGCAGACCACAAGTATTTTTTGAAGGTTGACGGTGAATTCATACTACGATGACTAAAATGGGTGCAGACCTTTTTGTGGATGATTTCTGTTGCATCATATTTGCGAGAGCTGCAGTTGCATATTTTAAGAACAGGTTCAATAAAAATGTATGTTTCAACTCATTGTCAGAAGGCTGTATTGACTCTCAAACTATTATTTTTTTTTGGGTGCAAGTAAAAATGCCAGTTTTTGTTGCACTTCTTCGAGTCTCACTCTGTCCTGGTGAAAAAGTTTCTGTATTTCAAAGATCTTTGAAGTGTCTTTGATTCATAGAGCGCACAGATGTCCAGTTTCAATTCACAGTCGTGGAGCTGTTGCTGACTGAATTCAGGAATGTTTTTTATAGGTTGGAATTTCAAAAAGTAGTGTATGATTTAACAGGTTTAAGAAGTTCAGGAGGAAATAGTATCATGGACATAATACAGAAACTGAAATATCACTAAAGAAACCTTGTGCAGCTTTGCTGAATCTTTCTTTGTGTTTCATAATGCTTCAGTTTATTATCACCCCCAAAATACAGGCTAACACCCCCATTAACGACACAAGTATCAAAGGCCTCAAAGTGTGAATGGTTGTAAAACAACCTACTGGGGGAAGACTCAAAGCGTTAAATTGACGGCTTCATCAATCAATTAAAATGACACCATTCTGTCATTCAGACAGAGGAAACGTTATGTTTTTGTTTCTCACAGCGTCATTCAGACTCCCACAA